TCAGCCTGATGAGGCTTACTATAAAGGGCGAAACGTGAAGTTGTAGTTGAATAACGCTTTTCATTATTTTACCTCTTCCTCATATTCCAACACCTATTTTATATATGGCAGTTTGTCTGACATTTCAGCCTGATGAGGCTTACTATAAAGGGCGAAACGTGAATTTGTACCTTTCTGTAACGCTTTTCTTATTTTACCTCTTCCTCATATTCCACCACCTGCATTATATATGGCGGTTTGTCTGACATTTCAGCCTGATGAGGCTTTCTATAAAGGGCGAAACGTGATTTTGTCCTTGAATAACCAGCTGCATTATTTTACCTCTTCCTCATATTCCAGCACCTATTTTATATATGGCGGTTTGTCTGACATTTCAGCCTTCTGAGACTATAAATTATTCTGAAGTTGTAGTTGAATAACGCTTTTCTTATTTTACCTCTTCCTCATATTCCAGATGTGTTTTTTATATGGCGGTTTGTCTGACATTTCAGCCTGATGAGGGGCTATAAAGGGCTTACTATAAAGGGCAAACTTTTTACCTCTTCTGAATAACAGCTTTTCTTATTTTACCTTCTTCAACTGTAAAGGGCAAACTGCTATTTTATATTTACCTCTTCCTGAACATTTATATGGCGGTTTGTCTGCATTTCATTGATAGGCTTACTATAAAGGGCAAAACTGAAGTTACTATAAAAGTAGATGTGTGATTTTACTCCTTCTTGAATAACGCTTTTCTTATTTTACCTCTTCCTCATATTCCAACACCTATTTTATATATGGCGGTTTGTCTGACATTTCAGCCTTTGAGGCTTACTATAAAGGGCTGAAACGTGATGTTGTCTGTGAATAACGCTTTTCTTATTTTTACCTTTCTGTATCCCAGCACCTATTTTATATATTACTTGTCTGACATTTCAGCCTGATGATTCTTACTATAAAAGGGCGAAACGTGAACTGTAGTTGAATAACGCTTTTCTATTTTTAAGCTGTGTCTTTACTCCTTCTGTAGAACACCTATTTTATATATGGCGGTTTGTCTGACATTTCATTATTGATGAGGCTTCTATAAAGGCGATGTGTCATTTTACTCCTTCTGTATTTTACCTGCATTATTCTATCCCAACACCTATTTTTATTTTACTCTATATGGCATTTTTTACTCTTCTGTTTCAACCAGATGTGGCTTACTATAAAGGGCTGTGAAGTTGTAGTTGAATAACGCTTTTTACCTTTCTTGATATTTTAACCTATTTATATATGGCTTTTGTCTTTTTCACCTCCTTCTATACCAGCTGCATTATTCTTTTCTTATTTCTCTTCCTCCAATCCCAACACCTATTTATGGCTTTTGTCTGACATTTCAGCCTGATGACTCCTTCTATAAAGGGCTGAAACGTTCTGTTGTAGTTGAATAACCAGCTTTTCTTATTTTACCTCTTCCTCATATTCCAACACCTGTTTTATTTATGGCGGTTTGTCTGACATTTCAGCCTGATTATTCTACAACTCTATGAAGGGCTGAATCTTTTACCTTCAACCTGTCTGTGAATAAGATGTGTCATTTTACCTCTTCTTCATATCCCAACACCTATTATTCTACACTCTCTGTGAACTATAAAGGGCAACTGCATTATTTTACCTCTTCTGTGAAGTTTAGATTTTTGTGTCATTTTTCCTTCTTGTAGTAGACCAGCTGCATTATTCTACACTCTCTGTATAACCAGCTGCATTATTTTACCTCTTCTGTAACGCAGATGCTTCATTTTACCTCCTTCTGTATTCCAACACTATTTTATATATGGCGGTTTGTCTGACATTTCAGCCTGATGAGGCTTACCTCTTCTGTGAAGCAGATGTTGTTTGAATAACCTTCTGTAGACCAGCTGCATTATTCTACACTCTCTGTGAACCAGCTGCATTATTTTACCTCTTCTGTGAAGCAGATGTGTCATTTTACTCCTTCTGTAGACCAGCTGCATTATTCTACACTCTCTATGAACCAGCTGCATTATTTTACCTCTTCTGTGAAGCAGATGTGTCATTTTACTCCTTCTGTAGACCAGCTGCATTATTCTACACTCTCTGTGAAGCAACTGCATTATTTTACCTCTTCTGTGAAGCAGATGTGTCATTTTACTCCTTCTGTAGACCAGCTGCATTATTCTACACTCTCTGTGAAGCAACTGCATTATTTTACCTCTTCTGTGAACAGATGTCTTCATTATTTTCTCCTTCTGTAGACTAGACTGCATCATTCTACCTCTCTATACTCTCTGTCTAGAACAGCTGCATTACTCTTCACTCTCTCCTACACCCTCTGTCAGCACAGATGCATTATTTTTACCTCTTCTGTGAAGCAGATGTGTATCTCTATGATCCTTCTGTAGACCAGCTGCATTATTCTACACTCTCTATGAACCACAGACTGCATCTTTTTCCCTCTTCTATGATCAGCACAGACTCTTCAGATGTCACACTCTTTACTCCTTCTGTAGACCACAGATCTGCATTATTCTACACTCTCTATGATGACTCTTCACCATGATCAGCACATCTTCATTTCCCCACCTCTTCTGATCAGCAGATGTTCACTCATTTTACTCCTTCTGTCAGACCACAGACTGCATTATTCCTACACTCTCTGTGAAGCACAGACTCTTCACCTCTCCTACACTCTCTGATCAGCACAGACTTTCACTCTCTCCTACACTTCTACAGCACAGACTCTTCACTCTCTCCTACTTCTGTATGATCAGCATGTGTCATTTCACTCTCTCCTACACCAGATCTGCTCTTCACTTATTCTACACTCTCTGTGAAGCAGACTCTTCATTATCTCCTATTTTACCTCTTCTGTCCTACATGATCAGATGTGTCATTTATGATCAGCACACTCTTCTTCTGTACACTCTCTATGATCTGCATTATTCTACACTCTTCTGACTCTCTATGACCAGCTGCAGACTCTTCACTCTCTGTGATCCTACACTCTCTATGATCAGCAGATGCGTCTTCTCCTCTCTCTGTAGACAGCACAGACTCTTCATTATTCTACACTCTCTATGAAGCCAGACTCTTCACTATTTCCCTACACTCTCTGTGATCAGCACAGACTCTTCATTTTCTCCTTCTCTATGATCAGCACATTTCATTCTCCCTACACTCTATGATCTGCAAGACTCTTCACTGCTCCCACACTATTTCAGCACAGACTCTTCTGTGAAGATCAGCACAGACTCTTGTGTCTTTCCTCCTTCTGTAGACCAGCTGCATTCCTACTCTCCTACACTCTCTATGAACAGCACAGACTCTTCACTATCTCCCCACACTTCTATGATCCAGCACAGACTCTTCTACACTCTCTCCCCACAGATCAGCACAGACTCTTTTCTCCTCACTCTTCTGTAGACTCCCTACTCTCTATGATCATTATTCTCCTACACTCTCTATGAACCAGCCTACACTCTCTTTCAGCACAGACTCTTCACCTCCTACACTCTCTCTGTCTTCACTCTCTCCTACACTCTCTATGATCAGCACAGACTCTTCATTTACTCCTTCTGTAGATCACCAGCTGCATTATTCTACACTCTCTATGAACAGCACAGACTGCATTATTTTACCTCTTCTGATCAGAAGACAGATGACTCTTCATTCTCCTACACTCTCTGATCAGACCAGCTGCATTATTCTCCTACACTCTCTATGATCAGCACAGACTCTTCACACTCTCTATGATCAGCACAGACTCTTCACTCTCTCCTACACTCTCTATGATCAGCACAGACTCTTCACTCTCTCCTACACTCTCTATGATCAGCACAGACTCTTCACTATCTCCTGACACACTCTCTATGATCAGCACAGACTCTTCACTATCTCCCTACACTCTCTATGATCAGCACAGACTCTTCACTCTCTCCTACACTCTCTATGATCAGCACAGACTCTTCACTCTCCTACACTCTCTATGATCAGCACAGACTCTTCACTCTCTCCTACACTCTCTATGATCAGCACAGACTCTTCACTCTCTCCTACACTCTCTATGATCAGCACAGACTCTTCACTCTCTCCTACACTCTCTATGATCAGCACAGACTCTTCACTCTCTCCTACACTCTCTATGATCAGCACAGACTCTTCACTCTCTCCCACACTCTCTATGATCAGCACAGACTCTTCACTCTCCCACCCTCTATGATCACTCTCTTCACTGATCAGCACAGACTCTTCACTCTCTCCTACACTCTCTATGATCAGCACAGACTCTTTCACTCTCTCCTACACTCTCTATGATCAGCACAGACTCTTCACTCTCCTCCTACACTCTCTCTATCTCTGATCAGCACAGACTCTTCACTCTCTCCCTACACTCTCTATGATCACTCTTCACTCTCCCTACACTCTCTATGATCAGACAGACTCTTCACTCTCTCCTACACTCTCTATGATCAGCACAGACTCTTCACCTCTCCCTACACTCTCTATGATCAGCACAGACTCTTCACTCTCTCCTACACTCTCTATGATCCCCTCTTCACTATCTCCACTACACTCTCTATGATCAGCACAGACTCTTCACTCTCTCCTACACTCTCTATGATCAGCACAGACTCTTCACTCTCTCCCTACACTCTCTATGATCAGCAGACTCTCTCACTCTCTCCAGCACTCTTCATGATCTCTGTGATCACAGACTCTTCACTCTCTCCTACACTCTCTATGATCAGCACAGACTCTTCACTCTCTCCTACACTCTCTATGATCAGCACAGACTCTTCACTCTCTCCCTACACTCTCTATGATCAGCACAGACTCTTCACTCTCTCCCACACTCTCTATGATCAGCACAGACTCTTCACTCTCTCCTACACTCTCTATGATCAGCACAGACTCTTCACTCTCTCCCACACTCTCTATGATCAGCACAGACTCTTCACTCCTCTCCTACACTCTCTATGATCAGCACAGACTCTTCACTCTCTCCTACACTCTCTATGATCAGCACAGACTCTTCACTCTCTCCTACACTCTCTATGATCAGCACAGACTCTTCACTCTCTCCCACACTCTCTATGATCAGCACAGACTCTTCACTCTCTCCCTACACTCTCTGTAGTCAGCACAGACTCTTCACTCTCTCCTACACTCTCTATGATCAGCACAGACTCTTCACTCTCTCCTACACTCTCTATGATCAGCACACACTCTCTGACCAGCACAGACTCTTCACTCTCTCCTACACTCTCTATGATCAGCACAGACTCTTCACTCTCTCTACACTCTCTATGATCAGCACAGACTCTTTCCTATCTCCTACACTCTCTATGATCAGCACAGACTCTTCACTCTCTCCCTACACTCTCTCTATGATCAGCACAGACTCTTCACTCTCTCCTACACTCTTCATGATCAGCACAGACTCTTCACTCTCTCCTACACTCTCTATGATCAGCACAGACTCTTCACTCTCTCCTACACTCTCTATGATCAGCACAGACTCTTCACTCCTCTCTATCTCCCTACACTCTCTATGATCAGCACAGACTCTTCACTCTCTCCTACTCTTCAGCACAGACTCTTCTCCCCACTCTCTATGATCAGCACAGACTCTTCACTCTCTCCCACACTCTCTATCTCCTCCTCTATGATCAGCACAGACTCTTCACTCTCTCCTACACTCTCTATGATCAGCACAGACTCTTCACTCTCTCCTACACTCTCTATGATCAGCACAGACTCTTCACTCTCTCCACACTCTCTGATCAGCACAGACTCTTCACTCTCCTACACTCTCTGTAGATCACAGACTCTTCACTAGACTCTTCACTCTCTCCCTACACTCTCTATGATCAGCACAGACTCTTCACTCTCTCCTACACTCTCTATGATCAGCACAGACTCTTCACTCTATCCTACACTCTCTATGATCAGCACAGACTCTTCACTCTCTCCCTACACTCTCTATGATCCTTCACAGACTCTTCACTCTCTCCTACACTCTCTATGATCAGCACAGACTCTTCACTCTCTCCCCACTCTATGATCAGCACAGACTCTTCACTCTCTCCCACACTCTCTATGATCAGCACAGACTCTTCACTCTCTCCTACACTCTCTATGATCAGCACAGACTCTTCACTCTCTCCTACACTCTCTATGATCAGCACAGACTCTTCACTCTCCTACACTCTCTATGATCAGCACAGACTCTTTCACTCTCTCCCACTCTCTATGATCAGCACAGACTCTTCACTCTCTCCCTCTCTCTCCTCATTCACACAGACTCTTCATCCCAGCACAGACTCTTCACTCTCTCCCCTACACTCTCTATGATCAGCACAGACTCTTCACTCTCTCCTACACTCTCTATGATCAGCACAGACTCTTCACTCTCTCCCACACTCTCTGCACAGCACAGACACTCTTCACTCTCTCCCTACACTCTCTATGATCAGCACAGACTCTTCCTCTCTCCCTACACTCTCTATGATCAGCACAGACTCTTCACTCTCTCCCACACTCTCTATGATCAGCACAGACTCTTCACTCTCTCCCTACACTCTCTATGATCAGCACAGACTCTTCACTCTCTCCCACACTCTCTATGATCAGCACAGACTCTTCACTCTCTCCTCCTCTTCACTCTCCCTATGATCAGCACAGACTCTTCACTCTCTCCTACACTCTCTATGATCAGCACAGACTCTTCACTCTCCCTACACTCTCTATGATCAGCACAGACTCTCTACACTCTCTATGATCAGCACAGACTCTTCACTATCTCCTACTCTTCAGCACAGACTCTTCACTCTCCTACACTCTCTATGATCAGCACAGACTCTTCACTCTCTCCTACACTCTCTCCAGCACAGACTCTTCACTCTCTCCTACACTCTATGATCAGCACAGACTCTTCACTCTCTCCTACACTCTCTATGATCAGCACAGACTCTTCACTCTCTCCTACACTCTCTATGATCATGCAGATCAGGTGCAGGTTTTTCTGATTTGTTTGGCCTTTTACAACACAAGTTTGGTCTGGTCTCAACAAAATCTGCAAACAAACCATCAGGATTTTGGCCCAAATCTTTAACTCCTTGTTTATTGGCATGTAATCATCTAATTCTCTATCACCATGCTTGTCTTTCTTTAACAGCATGATCACACCCCTGGAAATCTGATTGGGAACAGACCCTGCCAGAACCAGTTGAATACCACTGTAAAATCAGTACAAACATGTGCAAGTATAATTTGTAGGGCAGACCATCAAGTCCCAGAGACTTACTACTGCTGACCCTCTTCAATGCCTTGTGGACTTTGCCCACTTTAATGCTGCTTCTGTTGACAGGAGTCAAGGAAAGTCAGTTAAATAACTTGTCAAAGTCTTGCTTACAGAGATCAAGCTCCTTGTAAACTAGTTTTGGAAATGCTGCCAAAATGCCTCACACATGTTGTTGGTTGACTGCAGGCTGTATCGATCTGGGGGAGTTGACCTGATGAATGTAACAATTGGAACCTCAACATATTTCCTCCTTGCACAATTTTGCACCCATGTTCATCACTTCATTAGATATTTTCATTAACTTAACCCTAACTGATAGCACTCACTAGCCAAATGCTTCATGGCCAGCCTAGCTAAAGCTATCTCTAGGGGATTGGGGGATCCACTGCCCAGACCAGACTATCTTTTAATACCTTCACCTTCTTAGCCTTGTCTGAGGTGAATTGTTGGCTATATTCAGTGGTGAAAGACCTGATGCTATCCTTAAGATTCTCACTAATTCTCACTGCACTTATTTAATCCTATCTGAACTTCTAACATAGGGGTGGGCAAACTTTTTGGCTCAGGAGCTACATTGACTTTTACAAATTGACAGATGGGCCGGGTCAGTATCCAATACATACATATCAAACAGAAACAGAAAAAAGCATTACAGTGTTAATACTTACATTCACTTTTAGTGGGAACAGTGTTGTTGATCATTCTTTTTTTGCCAGTGCATCAAAGTCTGGTGTTGTAGCAAGTCTCAGAAAAGATCTGAGTTGTTCATCACTCAACTGGGAATCTGGGGGGGGGAGGCTTTGTTAATGTTCATCACACTAAAAGTCTGTTCACACACATAAGTAGAACCAAATAACACCAGCATCCTCTGTGCTATCTTCTGGATATTTGGAAATGTGGCTGCACTTAATGAAGCATAAAACTCATCCAGTTTAAGAGAAGACAGTGTTAAACTGATCAATCAGTTCCAACTGCAACTCCTGTGGTGCTGTTTTAGGGTCTTGTGTGAAGGGCTTGCTAACTAAGTCTTCGTCAGTTAGTTCAACACAGTAAGTCACTGTTCTGTGTGATAAGCTAATTTTTTCAAATTTGTTCTTGCTCTCAGTACACAAGATATCTACTGTCTCTACCATGCACTATTTGAGAAACTCCCCTTCAGAGAAAGGCTTGCTGGTCTTTGCTAATTTGAATGCCAGTAAATAACTTGCCTTTATGCTTGGATGGCAGTTTGTCGGATAAAGGTGTTTTGCTGAGCCTGCAAAGTAACTGCCAACCTCCGAGTGATGGCCATCCATTCTTACATTGACTGGTTGTTAGCGTAATTAGCATGCTTGGAGGAAAAGTTGTATTCTTTTAAAACTGCAATGGTTTCTTGACAAATAAAGCATACAGTCTTTGACCAGACTTCAATGAAAAAGTATTTACTTGTCTATTCTTTATTAAACACTCAGCACTCACTGTCTTCTTTTCAAATTTAATGGCAGCAATCAGCTCTGGTGACTATGGCACAGCCGTTCCATTGCACTTGGAAATAAGGTGAATGTACCACCTATTGGGATGCCAGGCATTACAGAACAAGGTCAAATGAATGCAGTCATAATTCTGTTAATCTTCAGCAGGCCGGATTAAAAAGACCAACAAGCCAGATGCAGCCTGTAGTTTGCCCACTCTAACACCATCCTGCCACAAACTCATTTGTGGTCTGAATAGCCTAACTAATGGAACAATCTAGCAAATCTAGATTGACTCTTCTCACTAACATTCCATTCAGGTAGATGACCACCTAGGTAGACAGCCAATTAAACGTCTACATCCATATCTCCCGTTCTGGGTGATTGACCTGGTACTTACTGACGAGGCCAAACTCATCGATTAGATCAACCAGGTTATGATCACTCGACTTTCCACTAGCTCCTTGCACCTTGTCTAACTTGAGGAGCAGGATGCCATTCCAGTGCCCATTAAAACTAAACATTCTGAATCCACCAGGAACAAAAGCAACTGATGGAAGTATGAATAATGCTCGCCTCAATCATTGAGTGCATAAGCTGGAACAATCCAAAACAAACTACTTTTCACTGCAATAATGGTCAACCCTCACACACAGGGACGCTTCGCTAGCAAGGAAACTTCTCTGGCCCGCCAGCCCGTGCATACTGAATAGATAACACTAGACAAGTCACTTAGACAACAGATGAGCATTGGCCTTGCAAACAAAAGTGAATATCCTGGATTGCAGCAACATACACACTGAAGGACAGGAGATTATGAAGCAGATCTTTCAAATTCAAGCATGTCAACTTGATAGCCATTTTTTAGAGTAATTCAAATACTGGCCTGAAATCTGTAGGATTCAGGGCCCTGATAGATTTTCCTAGGTTACCAGAACCCATTTCAGACATAACCCATTGATCTGTAACAATCCTGCCACTCTCCATGGGGAAGGTTAGTCTTACTGCTCCATATAACAAGGAATGGAGTAAAATTGGGGCCCTCCCTGAAATTTTTTTTTCAGATTTTACTGAGCTCAGGCGACACTACACTACACTATCCTGAGCTCTGGGAACAATTCTTTGCTAGCAGATATTAAGTTCCAGACCTTTAGTCTGCTGCCACTTTTTGGAATTAATGTGATAACACCAGTAGTTTTAGGAAAGTTCTTGCATTCTCTGTTGACATGAGGTTTCTGTCCTTCAACAATGATGAATATGTTCCTTCCCCAGCATGTCAGGGATGTCCAGGAACTTTTAGTATGTCACTGTCACTTGGAGCACAAAGTCTACAGTGGCAATGATGGATTTGCTTATTACTGGAGAGATCTTTGTTGGGTACATATTGCAAAAAAAACACTCTCAGGTGGTCTTCAGAGATGTCCATTGGCACCTTGTGTAGCATTACCCTAGTCTTCCGGGTGCCAATGTACAGTCTGCAACCTCAGTTTTTTGGTGTGGATACTCCCTGCCAGCTCCTTTCCTGCTACTTCTGATACCAGCAGGACATTCCACATGGCATTACTGCATTTTGCCAATAACTTGGCTGCAATGTTTAGGCATTTTAAAGCCTCTTCCATTGTCTCCCTGCTAGCACCAATCAACTTTTGGGTTTTGGCATCTGTGATTAGCAGGGAGATAGTCCTGGTAGCCATCACTTCCAGCGCTGAAGGTATTGTGAGTAGCTCATTCCCTGAGATGTATTCCTTGTATTTGTCCTGCATGCCTGCATAGTGATTCTTCTTCTTTTGGGGCCTATAACAGGTCCAAGCCAATAAGTTTGGAGATACAAAATGATCCTGTTGTGCCAATTGCCGAGGAGACTCCACCATTGCAGTTTGGGTTACCACACAGCACAAATGAGTAAAAGAAAGGTGATTAAGGATAACAATAACAAACAAACAACGCTTACAACAATAATTACACAAGGCAATGCAGATGGTGTCCATGTATGATGATTTTATTTGGTTCTTCATATGTCATTGCATAGTTTGACATCTACGTGCTCCTTACTATACTTGAGCCTTTTTTGGCTGGTCTGCTGCTTAAGAATTATGCTTAGGTTTGTGGCATTACAAAGAATGGAGTGTTGACATGACATTCAATATTGGAAACTTACACCTAGCATGTATTTTCTTTAAAGATGTTTGTTAGTATATAGATACAGCTTTCTTGATGTTGACTGAAGTTTAATTTTTCTACTTTCTAAAACCATCCACTGATAACATCAGCTTGTTAAATCTGTCATGAGGGATACAATAATGTTGGTTTGTGATGTCTTCCTTCCACAATATTTTGAATAAACAGAAGTTGCTACTAATATCATTATCAATGTCATCAGCTATTTTCCTTTACTCTACATTGTATTGGGTTCTATGACTTTGAATAAGCATGGTGTCTGTTTTCAAGGCAGCTTTAATCTGCATTACAACCAATATTGCTTAGCGTGTCCATTTATTTTTCCTTTAGAGAAATAGAAATTCTCAAAGTAATCCTTCTTTTCACAGTGGCTAAATTAAGAAATTGATTCAGGTGCATTCTTGATCAATTTTTTTTTTTGA